GTGTGTCTGTGTGTGGGTCTGTGTGTGTGTCTGGTTGTGTATCTGTGTGTGGGTCTGTCTGTGTATCTGTGTGTGTGGGTCTGTGTGTGTGTCTGGTTGTGGGTCTGTGTGTGGGTCTGTGTGTGGGTCTGTGTGTGTGTCTGTGTGTGTGTCTGGTTGTGTGTCTGTGTGTGTGTCTGGTTGTGTGTCTGGTTGTGTGTCTGGTTGTGTGTCTGTGGTTGGGTGATGCTTTCTGGTGGTTGGCAGCTTGTTTTCGGGTCCATCGCTTATGAACTGTGCTGTGGGCAAATCTGCAATATTTAAGTTATTGTGGCGTGTTTTTTCATCACTCGCAGGATTATTTGTGTTGTGTTGTGCACTAAACACCAAAAAGGCAAATTCCTTGTAAGTCTAAAAACCTACTTGGCAATAAACCTGATTCTGATTCTGATTTGGACCGGGATTGTTTTTGAACTGCTTCTATTTTTGTCAATCTACACAAATACACCAGTTTATTTACACCTCCAACAAAAGGTTTTCCTCTTTTTAAAGCATTTTCTTAGACCAAACTCAGCGTACAGAAACTCTGTCAGCTGTAAAAATCCCAGTGGAAAGCCATCCTTGGCCAAAGGTATACAACAGATACAAATCCAGAGGTTGTGTTGAATTATTTACATTTATTTGTGTCTTATTGCTGCTCCAGCGAAATCAGGAAGCAGAAATGGAGACGTTCAGACGCCTGATTTTCCTTTAAAGTTGAATTTTTCCTTAAATGAAGATCACTGGTTGTTCACAGACGGCTTTTACAGCCTTTGAAGTTGTTCTTTAATTCGTTATCATCATATCTAACCTGCACATCTTATTAGAAAACTATTAAAATACACTCGGCAAAGGTTTTGTCTCTTAATCTCCTTTTTTTTATTATTTATTTTTAAAGTTTTTGATATTGCAAAAAATAACACATAACCAAAGGCTGGGCCTATCTTGTACATCAGTTTGTTTAATTGAATTAAAATAGAGAACAATCACCATTTACATCAGATTTAAATCAGATATTTAAACAGTTGTGATAAACTCAATCCACCTTCTACATTTTTTCACATTTGTCTGGTTGTAGTCTGATTTATTCTCCATTTTAAAGCTGTGTAGCTGCTGCTGATGAAGTGGATTTAAACACTTATTTAGGGCTCTGTTTACAAGTAAAACACCTGATAAAGTCATTTATTCTCCATCTTTAATTTGGATTTTATGGAGTGTTGCATGCGTCCTCCAACAGATTAGAAAAAGAAGATATTAGATATTGTGTCTGGTGTTTTGTTTGTCGAAAATAATGGACATTATTTAGTCATTTTAATCCGAATACTTCAAAGGTATCAGAGAAAAATGTTTCTGCCGATCGGTTTGACTTTTTTTTTTTTTTTTGGCGAGATTTTGTAAATGAAGCTAAATATTCCTGATAAATCTGTGATGTTTTTTTGTATTTTTATAGTTAGCCAAACGGTCGTTTGTCTACTTTTTGTTCTTTAAAATGAGGATGGGGTCAGAGTTTTGCATTTTGTTGCTGTGATGTCACTTCCTGTGACAAACACCAGCTCTGGGTTCTTATTTGTCCTTTAGAGCGTCACAATCTTAGTTTTACGTCTCTGATTTATCTGTCTCCTCCCAGAATAAATACCAGAGCGTAGCCTCCAGGACAGCTGATATTTCTGAGCATTTCTGGGTGTTTAAACCTGACAGAAAGGTGGAAATGAAACAGAAACACAGGAGCAGGAAGAAGCCTTTTGACGGACGACCAGCCCCCCCACAGGGTTTTTTTAGGGCTAACCTGTCAGGAGCGCGGTGGTCGGATTATTAAAATAAATCACCTAACGCGGCACAAACCTGGAGAGCTTTATCACCACAACAAATCTGCCAAATCAGGCCGGAAAAGTCCAGAAATTCAGCCATTCTGAACTCACTAGACTGAAAAACACCCAGTTTATTTATTTGTTTCTACATTTATTTATACTGTTATTTATTTATGTATTTATTTATACAGTTATTATTTATATATGTATTTATTTATACAGTTATTTATTTATACATTGATTCAGTCATTTGTTTATTTTATTTAGTCAATTGTTTTTTATTTTTCATTTGCTAATTAAATTCCATGTTTTTTAAGCAAATATTTCTATGTGTTTGCATAAATAACTCATGGTTTGTAACTCTTTATTTGTTTTATGTTATACATTACTGAAAAAAAACTTTTTAATGAGATTTCAAGGTGGTTTTTGCTACTTTTTTCAACAAAAGAGCACAAATAAGTTTTCATGGCTGGCCGGTTCGTATTGGAAATCAGATTCTATGTGGGTATTATTAGTGATGCATCTATAGATGTGCTTTTTAGTTTATTTTCAGCTTTAAAAAAAATATTTGAACTCTTTTTGCCTCAAACGTTTTCAAACAAAGTCGTCGAACTAAAACAAAATGTCAAAAAGTGAAAGAAATGTCCAGAATCTGTGACTTTTTAGGATTCCCTCTCTTTAGTTGGATTTCTGGATTGGAAATTGAGCCTAAAGTCTCCTCAGAAAGCGGACGGCTCTGGGGGGCTTTTGTGTGTCGTTTTTCTCCTTTTGGGTGAACAGAGTAGGTTTTTGGTGTTTCCCGGCTGGGGTGGAGCTCAGGTTAGAGTCTTCCCGTCACGATACTGATATTTTCAACTCGATACTGATGCTCAGGAAAATACTAGATACCATTTTCGATAAAAACAAAGACCCCAAAATGTAACTGAATTTCTACAGGTTAGTGTCTTTCGTTTCAAACTTATTACTGATAGCTACTCAAAACTATTACTGATGTTATCGTGGCCCACATTAATGACCCTAACCCTCCACCCTTCATAATTGTGAGAAATAAATATTTTTTGGTTAAACTTGTTTGGACTTATTGTACAAACCTATTTAACATCCACTATTTTAACATGATATTATGGATAGAGTTTAATTCAGTGTTTGCAAGATTCGTTTCACTATTTTTAAATTAATGTTTATATTGCCATGAAGTAATTAGGATTGTCTTGCCTGGGATCTTCCTATTGGTGACCTAATCAAAATGGCCGCCTTGGATGTGGGGGGTTGGATATCCATCCTTGGCTTCCTGCAGACTTGATTAATGTTAGCGTGTTATTATTAGCCATTAGCCGCAGCTAGCAATTCAAGGCTAACGTGACGTTAATGACCATAAACAACGTAAATAAATAAATAAATCAGATGTCGATACTTTTTAAAATGAGTATCGTATCTAGATAAAACGTTTTAGTATTTAGTATCGATACTTTTTTGAGTTTCGATGCTTTTGACAGCTTTATTCCCGTCAGACGGCCCGCGGCGGCCTGTGTTTGGCCCCATTCATCCGGACCAGAATCTGGACCAGAGGTCGCCTCTCTCTCTCTCTCTCTCTCTCTCTCTCTCTCTCTCTCTCTCTCTCTGTGTTTCTGCTTTGTGTGCAAACACAACGAGGCCCGTGTGGCACACAGGCGCCCGATTGTTGGGGGGGATTACGGAAAAGAGGGCGTTTCCCGGGACCGCCGAGCTCCCGGGAGCTGCCCGGCTTTCTTCTGCCACTTTAAACAGATATTAAAAAAACATTTTTAATTGAGGATAAATTCTGCTTAAAAATATGGAGATAAAGGTGCTTTTCTGCATCTGTGCCTGGACTGATTGGCTAATTGTTCCCCCAGAAAATGCCACTCTGGGACCAAAGATAGACACTTTTGGCTAAATGTAAAACTTCTGAGGCCCTGAAGTCCATCTGTAAGGCAAGTTTATTTTACAGCACGTTTTGCGTCCTTTTAAAAGTGCTTTACAAAGACTTTAAAAGCAGAAAAACAAAGAAAGAAAATTAATCTTGTGGTCAGTGGAAGGAGCCGGAGGTCAGATAGCTGGAAGAAATGGGCTTTAAATGATGGAGAAAAAGGCACAGAGGAAATAAAACACAAGTTGGTCCACAAATAGAAATATTTGGAGAAAAATAAGCAAGATAAAGTCAGATTAAAATGTGAAAATTAGCCTCTACAAAACATTATTATTATTATTATTATTATTATTATTATTATTATTATTATTATTATTATGGTATTTTTATTATTATTATTTTATTATTATTATTATTATTATTATTATTATTATTATTATTATTTATTCGAGTTTAAAATAACAAATGCAATATGGAAAAAATAACAGGTTAAAAAAAGCTTAAATGAATTAAGCTTTAAAGTTTGAGAAAAAGTTGTCTATAACTTTTTTGAAATTATTTTAGTTATCATATAATAGTTTTTCAAAATGGTAGCATTTATTAAAATGTAAAAGGTATTTATTCGGGCTTTTGCATGAGTGCAGGGGGCTGTTTTCTCCACTTTTCCCTGCTTGGGACTCCATTACCCACGATGCACTGCTGCCTGCTGGTTGTTTACAGCAGCTCCATGCATCGTCTGCAGAAAACTGACTGGAAGTTTTCTGTCGGATCATGTCCATAAAAGTTTAATAAAACACTCAGATCATTGGCTTTAAGTTAAAAAAGCTCAGTGTTTATAATTCTCATTTCTGACCTAAAAAAAGCTGAAATGAACTAAACTTTGAGCTAGTTTCTTGGTGTTTGGAGCAAACTTTGCTCTGCTCATGCAACAAAACTAAAGGCAATTGTTTTTTTGTTGTTTTTCAAAGGACCTGGGATTATTTTGATGAATCTGATTTACTTTTTTTTTTATTTTAAATGACGTTTGACTGTTTGGTTACAGCTGAGAATGAATAGTTTTTGTGTATTTATTCACAGTTTTCAGTCGGTGAGATTTAAAAACAACCTCAGTTTGTTGTTTAAGTTAGATTTGGCTCTTTACCTTGAACCGTCGACTTTTTGGTCAATATTTTGGTCCATTTCCCCTTTTTTTTCAACCTTTTGGTCAATTTTCTTCTTTTTCTTCAACCTTAAGGAGTTTAAAGTGCTTCAAAACAGACTTTATCCATGACTTATTATCCATATTGTTCATAAGCAGCTTTTTTTTAGGCTCATTATTAGACCTTTAGGGTTAAACATGACTTTTTTTTTTGGCCTCTGAAATGCTCGTAACATAAAAACTGAAGCACACATGGAAAAACTGATGTTTTTTTTTAATTCCCTCTCTGTAATCCTAACTCTTTGTCTCCTTCTGCCCTCCCAAAGCTTACTTGGTGACACAGAGACTTCTCCCTGAGGAGCCAAGAAGCAGACGGCTCATGACTTCTGACCAGGACACAAAAGTTGTAGCTGAACCACAGGTGCAGCAAGTACAAGAGGCAAAAGAGAGCTCTCATTTGGTGAGTCTGCTTCCTGTTTTCCCCTAAAGTCCGTCTGGTGGTCAGATATCTGGAAGAAATGGGCTTTAAATGATGGAGAAAAAGGCACAGAGGAAATAAGGCACAAGTTGGTCCACAGATGGAAGTATTTAAGGAAAAATAAGCAAGATAAAGTCGGAATAAAATGAGAAAAATAATTATTAAGGAGATAAATTAGCCTCTACAAAATGTTATTATTATTCTTATTATTATTACTATTATTTATTCCATTTTAAAATAAATTAAATATGAAAAAGGTAAAAGGTTAAGATAAGCTAAAATGAATTAAGCTTTAAAGCTGGGAAAAAACTTTTTTATATATATATATATATATATATATATATATATATATAGAAAAGTACATACAACCATATATATATGGTTGTATTGTGTTATATAGGTTCATATAGGGTTAAATCAGGGCTATATAGAGTTACATAGGGATATATTGGGTTATATAGAGTTACTTAGGGTTATAAAGATTTATGTTGGGTTATATAGAGTAATGTAAGGTTATACTGAATTATACTGAGTTGTATAGAGTTATATCGGGTTATATCATGGTTATATAAAGTAATGTTGGGTTATATCGGGTTTATATTGGTTATATTGTGGTTAAATTGGGGTATATCAGGATTATATTGGGTTATATAGAGTCATATACAGTTAAAAGAGTGTTATATTGGGTTATATCAGAGTTATATTGGGTTATATAGAGTCATATACAGTTAAAAGAGAGTTTTATTGGGTTATAACAGAGTTATATTGGGTTATATCAGAGTTATATTGGGTTATATAGAGTAATATTGGGTCACATATAGTAATATTGGGTTATATTGGATCTGGAGCTGATAGATGGCTCCAGATCCATATTTTCTATTTGTTTAACCATAATTTACGTTCACATAGATGGAGGCTCACTTCCCTCTGTGGGTTTCACAGATTTTCTTATTGTTTTTAACTCCTTTGAGCTGATTTCTGGTGAGAAGCGATTCCCTCCTCCCCGCATTTTTAGGTCTGGTGTGTAATTCTGCTGGAGGGGGTCCTGTATCAGGGTCCACTGAGAGAAGGATCCCTCCATATGCTGGTTCCTTTATTTTTCTGTTTAATCACACGGTTTTGGCTTCATTTCAGTTAGTTCTTGTCACAATGAGGCAGAAATACATTAAAAAAAATGTAAAAATATCAGACAAAACATGAACTAAATGAGGAAAAAATGTCCAAATACAATAAAAAACTGAATTTAAAAGAATATAATATAAAAATGTACACCCAAATAGCAAATAACCAAAGAAGGAATTTAGATTAAATCCAGTAACAATAAAGTTTAGAACTGAACATAAACTTTATTTAACACAACTTAAACCAGAAAAAATCAGTTTTTCTTTCACCACAAACATTGTTTTGATAGATTATTTCATTATTCATGATAGTGGAGCTGAATATTTTAATATTTTATCCCCCTTTGGAAGCTTTCTGTGTTCAGCCGTGCGTAATGAAGCAGCCGGATCAGAAAGGTGTCGTTATCTCCACAGCGTTTTATTATCGGGCGGAAATAGGGGCAGGTTTCCCACACTCATCGTCCCAAATCCTGAAACCAAAGAACCATGACCTGTTTTTATTTCAATGCTCTGAGCGGAGCAGCGTCCTGTTGGTCACGGGAGGGAGGAGGATCCAGTCTGGAACCAGTAAAAACAGCATTTATCCGCCATAAAAACCGGGTTCTGCTCCTCTAAAGCCTCAGAGGAAACCACTTTCTGTCTCTAAGAGATGGAGGTTAGCCTGATAAATAAATCCTGAAGTGGAGAAATATCTCTGTGCTGGTTTGAAAAGTCCCCGTTCCTCTAATTTTCAGGAATTGTGTCCGTCTGCATCCTTTATAGATCAGATATTATTGGTGTTTTTGGTTTTCAGGACACAAATGGAGCCTCAGTTTGTCGTTTCTGGCTCCAGAAACTCGCTCGTTTTCACTTTCACTGCAGCTATTGAACAAATCTGGTGGATTTTTAGGACTTTTTAGGCTCTTTAGGGCTTTTCTTACTCAGAGGTGAGGAGTCATGTTATCAAACTGACCTCTACTTCGAGAAAAAAAAAGGGGATTAAACATCCAAGTGCTGGTCATGTTGCAGAAAAAGGAGAAAAATATCAATATTTGGTTATTTTTCTTCCCCAAACTGTCCCAAAAACAACTGAATCAGAGTTATTTCTGAGCTGAGAGAAGAAATCTGCTGAAATCTGGATCCAACGGCGCCAACGTGCATTTATCCCACACAGACGGAGCACCTTGAAGGCACCAGTAATGTAAACACAGGCTCCATAACGGGTTTCAGATCATATTCGGGCGGCTGAATCCTGAAACTCAAGCCGATTGAGCCGATTTAAGATGAATATGTGGCACCAACCGGCTCACCTGAAACTACTGTTGATGCCTCACGTGCACGTTTGTTTCAGCTATGTACAGCAGAACCTCTATTACGACGCCTAAATATACAAATTTTCCAACATTCGTAGTGGAATTTGATCAAATATTCCACTCTACACACAAAGTAAATTTCCAACAAACTTTGAAGTCATAGAAAAAATATAATCCTGTATCTCAGTCTCTACCTGCCAATAAAAACCCTTTTATTGGTTATTTCTTTATCATTTATTTTTACATCTCTCTTATATAAGTCATTTTTTTATTATGTTATAATATTAGTATTTATTAAGGAGTTATTGTAGGTTTTTTTTTTTAACCAATTCTAGGAATTACAGAGTATTCTGATGGAAGATCTGAACCAACATACCAATATTTAACATACGAAGTGAAATTTGATCAAATATTCGACTCAACACACAAAGTAAATTACTTTCATACATCGAAGTCATAGAAAAATATTTATAAAATATAAAAATTAAATTAAAATAAGTACGCTAAGTTAGTTTAAAGTTCAGGTAGTGAAAGTTAGGGTTGGTCCTGTATCTCAGTCTCTACCTGCCAATAAAAACCTTTTTTATTGATGATTTCTTTATCATTTATTTCTTTTTCCATCTCTCTTCTAGAAGTCATTTGTTTTCTTGCTATGTGTAATTATCTGCAGTATTTATTAAGGAGTTATCGTAGGTTTTTGGGACCAATTCTAGGAATTACAGAGGATTCTGATGGAAGATTTGAACCAAAATACTAATATTTATCATAGAATTCGGTCCTGGAAAAAGTTAAACTGTGTGGAGGTTTTGTTGTGGTTCTTTTTTTTCTTGACCAGGTTCAGCACACCTGGTTGGCTCCTCCCCACTTTGTCCCCAGTTGGAGCAAAGTGTGTTTACCTGGTCAGGTCGGGTTTCCGGGTGTGGAGCAGGTTTGATTGGTGGAAATGGAGCGCACAATGCTGTATTGTCACTGAAACCCGACCTGTTGTGATAGCTAAAATCCTTGATTTAAAGCCAGATTTTTTCCTGCCTCATGACAGCTTCACAGACGAATCAAATCGGTCCAAACATCCATGGCTAAACTCTGAATTTAAAGGGACATTGTGTCGTATTTTATCATCTAAAATCATGTTCTTCATTTTTATCAGAATAAGGTTTATTGCCAAGTAGGTTTTTGATTCACAAGGAATTTGTCTTGGTGTTTGGTGCACAACACTTCTATGAGAATTAAGGAAATACAATGTAGAAATAAAAATATAGAACAGAAAATATAAAGCTAAAAAGTACAATCTTTAAAGATATAGATCTGAGAATAGAAATATGGAAATGTGTCCTCATTTGGTGTAAAATGATCTGACTCCCCCTCATCAGGAAGACTTTCCTATCTGTTCATACACAGGACGGGCGAGTCCAGGGAGGTTTCCATGGCGATCCGCCATTTTGAAAAACTATAAAGGGACATAAAGCACTAGTCTGCCCGTCTAGCTAAAAACAAGCCAACATGGCAACGTGATTCTCCATCTTTTTTGGAGGAGGAATTACACGCTCACACTTATGATTCAATGCAGTTTGTATTTTCTTTTATTTTAAATGACAAACCTGATAAAACACCGGAGAAAACTGATGATGTAGAAAGTCATGTTGTCGTTACCGAGCTGGGAAACGGGCCGAAAATAAGCGGACGGCCTCTGGGCTTTTTCCCGAGAGGTCCAGAATTAGGAAATAAGAAATGCAAAAGGCCGGCCGTTTTTTTCGTTCGGCCGCACGCGCTTAAGAACGGAAAGGAGATTGCCCCCCCCCCCCCCAGAGGACCAAAATAACAATCTCAGGGATGAATGAATGCACTTAATTCAGGGTGCAAAACCTCCTATGTGAGCAGAGGAAATACTTCCTTTGGTTATTTTAGACCAGGTCACAAACGGCAAAGCAGGTTTATCTCACAGACCGCCGCTTAGAAAAGGGAAAAAAACGTCATTTTTTCCATTTAGATTCGGTTTAAAACCAAGAGTGCTGATTTGTAAGTGATCAAAGGGAAATTGCCCCAGTCCTTTAACCCATTTAGTCAGGAGAACAGATCTGGTTGAGGCCGTGCGTTGCTACCAAACCCTCATTCCTTATTCACATGCACACGGGGTGGTGCGCCATATGCCGCCACATATGTGTTAGAAATACTGTGGAAGCACCAAAAAAACGCTATAACCTAATTATAGCGGAACATGTCGCAATCCTGTCCGTCTTGGGTGGAAAAAGCAGGACAGGAGCTGATTCCAAAAGCCAAACTACAGAAATGGGCTTTTCTTTGTGGAATGAAAAGAGAGAGAGAGGGTCATAAACAGGAAATAAATTGGCTGTTTTTTTGTTTTGTTTTAAATTCTTCATAGATGGCTTATGAATTAAAGATGTGTGAAGTAGTGGAAGCCTGATTTGATTCCTCTGACAGATGGGTCCATTTTAGAGCAGACGCCCAATCAAATCCTCGGTTTGTTAGTGGAGCCTATGAGAGGGAAACGATCCATTAAAAACTAGATATTTCTCATTCTGTATGCGCTTTAAATCATGTGAAAAGGGGAGAGTTGGAATGCATCTCGGCCATGTTTCTACCAGTTCCTGTTTCCAGGCCACTTGTTGAGATGTTAGCCTGAAAATGTGTTTCTTGAACTTGGTAAAGCATCTCCATTTGTCTCTTGAAGCCGGTACAGTATCTCTAGAACCCAGTACAGCATCTCTATAACCAAGTACAGCATCTCTAGAAACCAGTATAGCATCTCTAGAACCTGGTAAAGCCTCTCTAGACCCAGTATAGTATCTCGATGTGTCTCTTGAACCAAGTATAGCATCTCTAGAACCCGGTATAGCATCTTTAGAACCCAGTATAGTATCTCCAAGTGTCTCTTGAACCCAGTACAGCATCTCTAGAAACCCGGTATAGCATCTCTAGAACCTGGTAAAGCATCTCCATGTGTCTCTTGAACCAAGTATAGCATCTCCAGAACCCGGTATAGCATCTCTATAACCTGGTGTAGCATCTGTATAACCTGGTAAAGCATCTCCATGTGTCTCTTGAACCAAGTATAGCATCTCTAGAACCCGGTATAGCATCTCCAGAACCCGGTATAGCATCTCTATAACCTGGTGTAGCATCTCTAGAACCTGGTAAAGCATCTCCATGTGTCTCTTGAACCAAGTATAGCATCTCTAGAACCCGGTATAGCATCTCTAGAACCCGGTATAGCATCTCTAGAACCCGGTATAGCATCTCTAGAACCTGGTATAGGATCTGTAGAACCCGGTATAGTATCTCTAGAACCCGGTATAGCATGTCTGGAACCTGGTATAGTATCTCCATGTGTCTCTTGAACCAAGTATAGCATCTCCAGAACCCGGTATAGCATCTCTATAACCTGGTGTAGCATCTCTAGAACCTGGTAAAGCATCTCCATGTGTCTCTTGAACCAAGTATAGCATCTCTAGAACCCGGTATAGCATCTCTAGAACCCGGTATAGCATCTCTAGAACCCGGTATAGCATCTCTAGAACCTGGTATAGGATCTGTAGAACCCGGTATAGTATCTCTAGAACCCGGTATAGCATGTCTGGAACCTGGTATAGTATCTCCATGTGTCTCTAAAACGCGGCACAGCGTCTCTAGAACTCGGTTCCCCAAACCGCTGGATTTCTCCCTCTGCGTGTTTTCCTGTAACTTTAGTGCTTCTCATCCGGTTGTGCGTTAAAACTCTGATTCCGGGAGCTGATTTCTGGCAGAAGCGGTTCCACGCCGGCGCCCGTGGGTTCCACGCCGGGGTGATAAGTTCCCACAGACGAGTGTTTTTAGGGAACCGGTGGGGAGCGTTAGAGCCTTTAGGCTGCTGTTCCCCCCCGAAGGACCCTTCCTGCCCACGGCTCGTCTCAGCCAATCACGGCCCTCCTCCCCTTCCTGTGCCAAGTTGGGAGCTTTCAAAACGCTTAAAGGTCAGGTGATGTCGGCAGCCGTTTCCATGGCAACCGGCTCGGATGGGAGTGGCGCCATTAGCATCTGTCTGGCCTCGTATTCCTCGGCCCCTCTTTTTTTTTCTCTTTCTTTTAAAAAAACAAACAATTTTAATAAGTTTATACAACATTTCCTGACAGATATTGAAGACGCATCACAGTAAACATGATACATTTAACATAAATAAATACAAAGAAAGCAAAGTATATTTTTAAAAACAAAAAAAAATATTCAAAACAAAAAAAAAAATATATATATATATAAAACAAAAAATATTTATATAAAAATATACATATATATTTATAAAAACAAAAAGAAAAAATAAAGGAAAAAATATCTTGAGTTGTAAAATAAAAATAACTCAAATTAAATAGCAATCCCTTGATTTTTTGGGGGGGAAATTAGTCAATCAAAAGATTAGTGGTCAGAAAATTAGTCTTAAGTGGCAGCTCTGGTGTCTTAAAGGGAGTGAATGAGGCTTTTTGTATGAGTGACATCTCTGAGCTGCTCAGAAATGAGTTGTTAGGGACACTTTGTTAAATTCTTCTTGTCTCTGGGTCGCTTTGACCTGTTCCTTCAGTCGTGACTGTGTTTTTCTGCCTTTTTCGGGCTGAAAATGAGCTGGACGATCATCTCAGGAAAGAGGAGTAAAGGGTCCAGAGGTCCGGAAGGTTTAGGAAAAGAGCTGCTCTGTGGAGAGGGGGGTCTGTAGGAGTTTATGAAAACAGACAGGGACTTGCTGCTCTGTAGGCCTGGTGGGTCCTTCCTCCATCAGAAAGCTAATTTGGGGGCTTTAAAGCTGTTCTTTGGAACGTTCAAAGATGTTTTGGGGGCTTTTAAAGCAGTTTTTTGTTGCTTTAAAAGCTGTTTTGTGGCTTTTAAAGATGTTTTTGAGGCTTTTTAAAGATGTTTTTGAAGCTTTAAAGCTGTTTTTGGGGGGTTTTAAAGCTGTTTTGGGGCTTAAAAGATGGTTTTGGGGGGCTTTAAAGCTGTATTTTTGTGGCTCTCTTTTTCCAGCCATTACACATTTCATAAACGTTTCTCTAAAGACCCATTAAACTCCAATCAGCTGGGTTCACAAATGCCTGGTTGATGCTCATTTAATTCCCTCTTGTGTTCTCAGGAATCCGCCAAGGTTTCGGACCTGAACCCCAATGCGAAAGCATGGGCCAACCACATGCTTAGCCTGGACCCCAGCGGGACCGCGGACCCCACGCCTGCCGCCCTGCAGCCATGGAAGGAGGGCAGCGATAGTCCGGCCGAGCCCGGAACCGAAGGTCAGCCGGGGCTCCGGGACACCTGCATTCAGCCCTAACCCTAAAGTTAATTTGGTTACCGCGAACCGAGCTGGACACAAACGCGTTTCCCAGCCACATTTGGTGTTGCTAGCATTAAGCTACCGCCCCCCCCCGCATTGGCAAAAGCCAAAAAAGATCCAAGATGTGAAGCTATGAAAGCTCCCTCGTAGGTTTAAATGTCAGTCATAATCCCAAACCCCACAAATGAAGCTCCTTTTCAAGAGGAAACAGGTTTTGAATTTGTTAGAGTTCAACAGAAATGGCTGAAACTCGGTGAAAGCGGAGACGTGAGATTTTCTGGTCCGATTGAAAGCTGGCGGGCAGGTTTCCACATCGCGTCAGAGCCTGGAGACTTCAGCGTTGACTTTCTCTACATTTAGTGACTGTTCAGACCCACTTTGTTCCCAAAAAAGGACAAATCCAGCTTGTATTCAGATGTTACTTGAGAACAATTTTAAAATAGTTTCTTCTCAGCTAGCAGCAGATGCTAACCTCTCCCCATCCTCAGAAATCTAATTTTGTAGCCAACTTAGCAACTTTGTCTCTAGATTTAGTGACTTTTCCGACCCACTTTGTTCAAATATCGACTTATCCAATAACTTTAACTTCGGTGTTATTGGACATTTAAAGCTGGTATCGTTCTTTTTAGCTAGCAGCAGATGCTAGTGTAGCCAACTTAGCAACTTTGTGTCTGAAAAGTAACTAAATATCTCTATATTTAGTGACTTTTCAGACACAAAGTGTTTAGTGAAAAGTCACTAAATATAGAGATATTTAGTGACTTTTCAGACCCATTTTTCCCCCAAAAACGACAAATCCTTAAAGTTTATTTCTGGTGTTTTTGGACATTTAAAGCTGGTGTCGTCCATCTGAGCTAGCAGCAGATGCTAACCTCATCCAGCCCCCCCCCCCGGCTACAGTCAGAGCAGATTTCCAGCTTTCTGACTCAGTCATCCGTGTGTGAAATGAAGCAGCAGCCGGCGTCTTGTTTGTGAATTTAAAGGAAAAGAAAACGTGGATACATGGATGGTCCAGGCTGTGTGACAGAAGCTAAACATCTGGCTGTCCGGCTCGTCCTGTCTCAGTCAGAAATGTCCAAGATGTGGACCTAAATCTTAAAAAACAAGTTAATCCACATGTTTTTACCTCCGCCTTCGTTGCTTATGGCCTTCGCTATGTTTTCTGGTTGTAAAAAAGATTTTTGGGAGCTTTTAGTCGATATTCTGACGTTCATGATGCATGTTTTTCTCCAAATAAATGTGTGCTTGAATCAGTTGGAGCTGAAGCCCTCAAACATTCCCTCCATGTATCCATCTATAGTCATTTTAAAGGTCTTGACTCACTTTTGGTCCATTTCTCTCACCTGAATCGTTCGTGTTGGCTTTAGTCTGAGCCCTGAACATTCCCACCTCCTCACAAATGGCTCTTAATGGTTAGAGTTAATGTCCCCGGCTGAAGGAAAACCAGCGGAGATGATTGATTAGCTCAGGTTGGACTCTGATTGGCATATTTAATCTCCCACGTTCCCTCAGGAAAGACGGGAGAGTCGAGCAGTTTTTTCTTTTTTGCTTCCTGGGTCTTTAAAGAAAGAGAAAATGGACTCTTATAATTCCTCATTTGCTCTTCGAAACAGACGCAGACCAAATTCAGACGACTGAAACGGATTCAGAGTAAAGTAAACTCAAAGTAAAGAAGACTTATTTAGAGGGCTTATTTTAGTTGGTATACATTTGATTTTGGCTCCTTTATCAGAGTCCTTGAAGCCTAAATGGAAACTGATACATTTACCTT